ACATTCTCTACTTTAAACTAGTGCTTCTGGCCAGGGCTCTGATGCCGTTTGAAATATCTGAATTTTCATGTGAAGTTCATTCCTCTGTTTGCAATCAAAGCACCGTCTTCTACCTGCATGAACATGCCAACATACTTGCGTTGCACAGCTACGCAATGAATTGAGTGCAGATAGGAAGAGCTTTTTGTTAAATCTTTATTTGTTAAGAAGAAAATCCCCTAAAACGCATCGTGCAGCCCAAACCGTAAGGCCTAGAGACTTGAAACCTGGCCAGGTGGTAGGGCCTCAGTTTGGGGAGAACCTATCAGAGTATGACCCCGATTGGCCCATAGGTGGCGCTACAGCAACCAAAAGTACTAAATTGCTCATAACTCCTAGACCGTTTAACTTCAAGCTTTTTACACCACTGTGATACTTGGCTCAAGGCGGTCAGAATGTATATCTCCCAAAAAATTCTGCTATGTCCAATTTTGTCCAAAACCTACTTTCGTGAACTAGTCCCTGGTTTTTCGCCCGATCGGGACCAGACCAGTCTAGGACAATTCTATGGACTCTCTAGATCAGGGGTGGGGAACCTTTTTCCTATCAAGGGCCATTTAGAATTTTTTAACATTCTTTAAGGGCCATTGTAATGAGGTTCAGTGTTTGGAAGGAAGAAGAGAGGGTCGGCGTGACTGGGACTCGTACGTTTTATTCAGAGGTGTAGTGGTAAAAAAAGAGGTGGGTAAACTATAAATTCTGGTGGACCACGACATGGTCACCCGGTAAGGTGGGCCACTGCCTACCGGTGTATGTGTATCCTGATGACATTGCTATAGGCAGGGCTCGACATTAAGCCTTTCATACGCTTGTCCTTCGGACAAGTAAATCTGTCATTCACTTATCCGAGTAAAAAAGTTTCTTGTCCGGATTTTTTTTTTTTTTTTTTTATTTATTCTGAAACAATATTCTCATCAGTGTTCAATTAGCTTTGATATTTAAATCGGCATATTGTAATATTTGCACCTTTAAAGTAACAACAGGTAACTTTTCAACCTTCATATTATATTTCCAAGTCTCTTGTGATGGTACATCGACTTACAATAGGTTGAATGACACGTCTGCCATAGCCTGACGGGGTCTGTAGCGTTTTTAATCGTACTTTTAAACTTCGGGTTTCGGGTAGTAACCGGCGAACAAAGAGAACTACAAAATTCGACTGCTTTACGGCATATACGTCACTTCCACCACCACCCCCACTTCCTTAAAATCGGACTTGCGAGCCAAATGTTATAGTCATGGCCGAAGCAGCACAGAAAAACAAGAAAGCAAAGGTTTTATCGGAGCAAAGCAAAAAGAGAAAAAGAGAAAGTGATCGCGTTAAAGGCAGAACGAGGATCAACATTGCAGAGCTGCCAACTCTCACGCATTGGCCGTGAGACACCCGCATTTGATTGGTTTCACACGCTCACACGTACGCCACACCCCCGGTTTCTCACGCTAAATTGTCAACCCGGTCGGTCAAATCCCTGAAAGATGAGTTTATCTATAGATCTACCTGTTGAGCCACTCGTGATCGACAAGTTATACCGCAAATTAGTTCAAATCTCCCGGAATCTAGAGCGAGCGCGCACGCGAGACAGAGACTGTGCTCCAACGCGCGCGGACGGCAGAGAGAGAAAGCGAGCGAGAGACCTTGCGTGTGCAGGGAGCATCGAACCCCCCATCGACAAAAGAATGCCTCTCTCTAACCTCTCTTATTCGCTAGAGTAGTAGCGAATTATCAATCTGGTAGCTAGTAAACGATGTTCTAGTTTTTGATGGTTAGCTATCGCTAGTATTCTCGTTCTGATTTGAACTTTGCAATCGATGAAATGCAAATAGCAAATGTTTGACCTAAAAAGTGTAGTCTACTCAACATGTACAAAGAAAGGAGGAAGATTATTAATAAAATCATATTTTAGGATACCTAACATGTCTGTGATATTTGTTTATTTGTCTTGCCTCAAGCTATAATGCAAATCGATTTGTAAAATTTGCAGATTCATTTATGGTAGCTTGATATTATAATATTGACGATATATGGTTATTATCAACCACTCAAACATTGCATTGAAGTATCATATAGATCCAGTAAAACGGTAACCAATAGACTAGGCTACTATAATGACGCTGGCTTGTAAACGTGAGCATCGCGATCATTTGTCGTTAGAAAAAAAATAAAACCCATGAAATTATATTCATATGACATGCTGAAATATATGCCACTGTACCTGGGTAGAAGACATTTCACACGCGACGCAAGCAGAACACCTGCATGTGACCTCCTCCTACAGTGTTCAGGGCTATCCTGGTTGTCAACAATTGCACGTGCATGTAGGATGACAGAGTTTACGACAGTAGTAGAGGACAATACTGTTTCCCAACTGTAGGGGGAGCCCGAGAGCAAAAAACTACCTGTTGTTACTTTAAAGGGCATCCCCTCCCCCAATATTATTAAATGTATGCTTCATCTTTCATTTTAAATTCCTAAATTTGATCAATAAATTAAATTATTTCGAATAATAAGACACTATAGGGCTGATCAAATTAAATCATTTACACTGAAAAATTACAATTGCATAAAATAATGTTATGAAATAGATTTAAATTTACAAATTAGAAACGTTGGAAAGAATGATCTACTTTTAAACATAAGACAAACCGCCAGTAGGTGGCGGCAGGCGACCGTCTTAATGAGTGAGTCATTGATTCATTCATGATTCAAACGATTTGTTCAAACGGCTGATTCATTCAAGATTGAACCTATGAAACTAATAATTAACAATATGAAACTAAAACGACATAAGCTTAATTTATAGCTATTTAGAGTGTGGAGTACTGGATAGAGGTGGATAAAAGCACAAAAACAGTCACATAATATAATACTCTTTCCACAGCTTGGGCTCAACTCTTTCCACTAAATCAGCACTGACTCATTCCTCTTTTAGTCGGCCACTCATTCCACTTGCTGTCGGCGAATCTACCTTTCTTTTTTTGACAGTCGCCATGATGCATATCAGCGATGACCACCGCTAAGGTTACGTGCATAGACAGTATAAGAAATGGACAGAGCCATCTCATTGGAACTCAGTTGAGACAGTTGAAGCCCATTTTTAGCGATTTCTGAGCACTTCCGTTCCTGACGCGCAGACTCAAACCGACTCAAACTAAGCTTGATGACGTGAGCAACCTGTCTGACAGACGTTACTCTTCTAGTAGCTGTGCGTGAAAATTGCCAACGTTAATCTTGCAGAGACGGGGAACTTGAGCAAAGAGTTCTTTGGGGCGTGAGTGAGCAGGAGTAAGTATTCCGTTGCTTTTATGGACTCATTATCTATGGGCTTCTCCCTTGACGGGACGTCCCCCCGATTGCCTGCGAGCTTCTCCTCCTGTCTGTACGGTAATTTCTGTACAGCGCGACAGAGAGTCGAGTGGTTATGACGCAATCGTTAGCCTATTTTTACTAAAACTGTTTCTACGGGGCCATAATGTAACATAGAAGGTAATGGAGCTCTTTATACATTGTCGTGTTTCTTTAGAAATAAATAATGGACAAATGGAGTCTTTAAACGCCTCAGATGTAAAGTTATTCGCTGTCAAAGTGACGCCAAAATGAATGGGAGTCAATGGAAATGCTAACGCAAGTGAAGTTCTGCTACAACATGGCGGCACCCGGCCGGCTTCAACTTCCGGTCGATGGATTACCCCCTTGGTTACGTGTCTGTTGCGTTCATTTTGACTGTGACCCGGACACAGTCTGAAACGACCACCCGGAAACGTCGACTCTCTTATGTTATTTTATAATATATTATGTTATTTTATAATATTGTATATTATCTATTATATTAAATGTAACGTGGTTGGTTAGTTCAGGGAAGAAGGAGGCGGGAACCGGCAAACGTTTAAACCACTTTAATACATTAATACGCAAATGACAAAACGAAAGTAAAAGCAGTAGCTCCTCGTGGACGACGACCACACACACATAAAGTAAAGTCCATGCCTGGTCCTCCGCTGTCTTCGTTCCGATCCTTTTACGCGCCCCGAAGCTGATCAGTGAGAAACTTGAAACCGGTGCGGGGCTTGGTGAGAAACTTGAAACCGGTGCGGCGCGCGCGCCCCCGAAGCTCATCCGTGAGAAACTGAAACCGGTGCGCAGGTGACTCGCGCTACTGGCCTCGCCCTGCTTGCCACTTTTTTGTGTGTGGGGGGGGGGGGGGGGGGGGGGGGGGGGAGGGGGGGATTTGACTCGCGGGCCGCATCAAACTGTTTTGCGGGGGCCGGACGTTCCCCACCCCTGCTCTAGATCAATAATTATCAAAAACTCAGAACTTGACAAAAATTGATGAGCATATGTGACATAACATCATTAACAAGCATGCCAAATTTTATGGAGATCGGACCATAGGTGGCGCTATAACTGTTAAAAAGCTTTAAAACCATACATTTCCTAAATTGACTGTATTGGCTGTAAATGCTTTTTGATGCTTTTGTGCTTAACGGCCTTAAAGGCCTTAACTGCTTGAACACCGCTAAATGCTGCTTGCAGCTTTAATTTGTCTATAAAATTGTTAGAAGTACACCTCTGCATAACATTGTATCCTTATTAACATAAAAAAAGAAATAGATCAACTTACACCAACGAATAACTTTATTAACATTGTTTTTTAGTCTGTAACAGAAAAGACTTGTTTTTTTGTCTGTAACAGAAAAGACTTGTTTTTTAGTCTGTAACAGAAAAGACTTAAAGTGCATCAATTTGCCTGAAAAAAAATATCAATCCTTATTTAAACTGTAAACATTTTTTGACCATTTGATACTAATTTTTTTTTAATATAATCAATAAATAATAATAAATTCAAATTGATCAGCAACATTAACTCAGGAGCACAATATATAAAACACTTTGACCTATAAACAAAAATGAATAAAACAATTTGTGCTGATTTTTTCTTTTTATCAAAATGAGGAAGTCAGGATTAATGGCTACTATGAGCACGTTTTGCAGTGCACAGCTTTTCGAAGCGGGGTTTGAGGCATGATAATGCAACTCTCAGCTCAATGTTTAGCTGGGACCTGTACTTGGTCTTCAGTGCATCAACAGCAGAGAAGCCAATCTCACAAAGATAAGATGTTGCAAACGGAAGAAGAATGGCCATGGCCCTCTGCCCTAAGAGTGGATACTGCCTCTCTACAGTCAGCCAGAATTCACTCAGTGTCTGTGATGTGAACTTCAGTCTCAATGTGGAGTCAGACGTCATATCAATGAACTGGTCCTTCTCTGCAGAGCTGAAACCAGTTGGAGCTGGTGCATTGAAAGGATCTCTCACCCAGTCATATTGGGAACTGTTTTCAGGGAAGTACTTTTTAAAGAATCCCATCAGTGATGAAATATGCTCCTTAATATATGGAATCACTGAGGTGGCATCATAGTCAGTAGTGTCAACAAATTCATGCAGGTTCTCGAATGAATCAGTATTTCCTTCATCGAGTCGCCTGCCCCACATTGCAAGCTTTCGAGTGAAAGAGCTGATCTCGTCTGTGACCTGCGGGAGGTGTTTATCTTTCCCTTGAAGCTGTAAATTTAGTTCATTTAGCTTTCCAAATATGTCCCTCAGGTAGGCCAGTTTTGCCAGGAAGTTCTCAGCACTACATTTTTCTGCGAGGTCATACTTGTTCTCCTGCTCCAAAAATATTCGTATCTGCTCTCTGAGCTCAAACACTCGGGACAAGACTTTTCCTCGTGACAGCCACCTTGCTTCACTGTGAAACAGCAGAGCTTGATGTTCAGCTCCCATCTCCTCACAGATAGCAGAGAAGACTCTTGTTTTTAGTGGTCTGGTCTTTATAAAATTCACTACACCTACAATGTCAGTCATGACCTCACTTAATTCAGAGGAAAGGTGCCTTGATGCCAGTGCTTCTCTGTGTATAACACAGTGTGTCCACTCAGCATTAGGTGATTCCTTCTTGATAAGTGCCCGAAGTCCTTTTCTCATCCTTGCCATGGTCTGTGCACCATCACTGCAAACACCAATGCAGTTCTCCCACTTTAGCCCATTCTCAGTCAGGAAGCAGTCCAGCATTTTGAATAGCTCTTCAGCTGTGGCTCTGTCTCTGACATATTTACAAAAAAGTAGATCCTCACACAGGGAGTTTTTCATGTCAAAACGCACATAAGCAATAAACAAACAGTCTTTGTTGCTGTCAGTTGCTTCATCGAACTGTAAGGCAACACGTTTGTCTTTGAGTTTATCTACCAGCTGTTCTTTAAGATCGTTAGCAATGTCATTTATACGTCTGGGGACAGTGTCATTGGACAGAGGGATAGTTTTTATTTTTGCAGCACTTGCGTCATCCAGCATGACAGAGACCATGTCTAATGCTGCAGGCAGTATCAGCTCCTCTGCTATGGAGTGGGTTTTTTTTGCACCGAGCAATTTGGTACGCCACCTTATATGACGCTAACAGTGCTGGTTTGCTGAAGTAGCATTCACAAAGCGGGACGATTGTTGACAATATTCGGCACGTTTTCGCTGAAAAAACTGAAGCGGCTTATCAGCGTGATTGGGGTGTAATGTCTTTAAGTGACGCCTTAATTTATTTGGCTTCATGCTGTCCGCTGCCAACATTTTTAGACACAGTAAACATACCGGTCTTTCCTCGTCTCCCACCGTAGTCACAGTGAAGCCAAGCGCAACGTACGCTTCGTCATATTTCCTCGTCTTAGCTTTCGGGAGACTTACGTTTGTCTCATTATCTCCGTCTTTCTCCGCCTTTCTTTTCATCCCTGTTAAATATTTTTCCATGGTGTCTCACGGGTTTGTTATCTGCACTTCATATCTCCTACTCTGTGCTGTGTGTTCTTCTTCGTTGCAAAAAAAGCATGTTCCCTGAGGTCACACGCGCCCCCCCCCCCCCCCCCCTGGCATCGCTTCGAGCCCCCTCAGGGGGGCGCGCCCCACTATTTGAGAAGCACTGCCCTATGGACTCTCACTTACCTGCTCACCTCATCTCTGCCCCTTTATTGTGCAATAAACTCACTGTTCACCTGCCATCTTCCTCTCAGTATCTGCTTATGGACCAATACCGATTAGATGGATATGCCCTTACTACAGATCATGAAAGATGTAATTCTAAAATATTTCTCTGAAAAAAAATATCTGTAAAAAATGTAATCATACTACTGTGGTTACCACAATTGTGTCTCCTTGCTGTAGAGCTAAACCAGGTATTTGCTTAAAAGGTAAGATCTTTGCCTACCTTATTTTTAATAGTAGGTGGTCTTCCATAATAAATACCAAGGTCTGTCATGAAACCCCTTGGGCTGCATCATAAATTGCATACTCTCGTGTACTTTTCAACCACTAAAAATGTATTTGATAAACTGTATTAATCCCCAGTGGGAAATTTACAGGGAATTTTACTGAAAAAGTGCAATTCACCTTTATTCCACAAGGTGACAAGGTCTGATACACAACGATGAAGTGACGTTTCACTCAGTTACCGCAAGCAGAAAACAATGGCTCAGCGATTTACTGCAGAGCAAGTACTGAACGCAATCAAATATTAGTGTCACTGTCACTTGATGATGGATCTGGTGAAGAAGCTGTCAGCGATCAGAATATTGTAACAGAACAGAAAATTATATTTTAGAGAATATATTTGAGATCGTGAATATAAGCCAGATGCTGGGAAATGAGCTCTGATGAGGACAGTGATGATGATATAAAACATCTCATATTGAAGCCTCCCAAGCTGCAAAAGGTAACAAAATATGCTTTATTTTATTCTTGTGTAATTGTTACTCTAATATTAGTAGAGTTTTATATTATTGCGACAGGTAGAGATCCATCTGTGTTAGATATAGATCCGGGTCGCTAAAGACCCGAATATGTAATAATGATTGGCGAAACATTCATGCATTTAAGGGTTAAAAGATGACTAAATATTATGCCATTTGTGGCTTGGGCCTTTTCTCTCTTTTTTGCCCAAAAGTGTACATCGTTAACTACACGGCACAAACTGATTGGTTCCTGTTGCACCTGCAGCCAATGAGCTTGCTTCTCAACATTTAAAAAGTCCGTCAGTGTTTGCTGTATAAAGTTCGCAAGCATGTTTTCAAAGTTCCTCTAAAATTCTCCAACTTCCCCAGCTCCACCTGTATAAATCTGATAGTACGGCTACAGGTATTTCATACAGTATATGCTATTTGTGCAGCAGTAGTAAGTCTCTGCTGCAGCAACATTGCAGATCTATTCCGCCAAGACCAATACATTAACATTGTCATATACCCTGCTGTTTCGAGAGTTGTCATGATAGAACTGTGTTCGGATTTAATCCATTCTGCTCTTTACTTCTTTCTTTTGTCTGATCTTTTTATTTCAGTATTACTAGTTCAAATTCACAAGTGGTATCCTGGCTGCAATTATTACTTCAAGTATCCATGTCTACTTGATCTAACCCATTACATAAATAAATAAATAAATAAATAAATAAATAAATAAATGGCTATAACATAACTTGTCAGGTTGATTTTTTTTTTTTTTAATAATAAGAGTTTATTTACATGAAAAAAAAAACACTTCGCCTGAATAAAAAAAAAAATTCTAGCATATATAGAAAATGTAGTCATGGTTGATTTGATGTAGAGGTCATGAATATGGATTTGTGATTAAATTGTGCAGAGGATTGGGGGATGATAAAGGGGCAGGTGACTCCTCTTTGTAAAACCAAGTAGATCGCTTCAGAAGACATATGGATTCAACCAGTGTTTCCCACGGTGTTATGAGACATACTGTATATGTCCACACGGATCAGAGCTAACAAAGGTGTGTCAGTTATGTCAATAGAACAGTCTGACTTACAAAGCACTGATGCAGATTTGTTGAATAACCAGTTTACAAGAGTACACATTAGAGAGTGCCTGAGGGATCATTATTATTGGTTTCTGTTAACAGTAATTATTAACTGCTGTGAATTTATATAAATTAATTTCCTACTTACTTGACTCATTAAGGGACACATACCTTCATCCTACATTTGATCTTACACTGAACAAACTGATAATACAAGGAGTCCATTGGAACGGTCAATAAGCCGGAAACTTGATCATATGTATATCTCCTTTCTACCTTCAGACACCCAGATATTGTCTCACATAAGTTTTTAATTTGTTTTTAGTAAATTATTTAGATCGGGGTCAACCACCTAGGTAGATATAGGGCCCAAAGAGGAGTAATCCAAATTATCCCATTTGGCTTTATACTATAAGTCACATTCATAGTCAAATGAAGATATGTGTGTGTACACTGTTAACCCTTGCTGTAAAAAAAAAGGCCAAATTCTGACAATATCATACCATTTTCCATTAAAACAGTAATATACCGTAGAAAACAGAACTAGCCTACAGGAATATACTGTGAATTAACAGCTCTCAAAGTCAAAGAGGCTGTTTTCACAATCACACCCTACAGGTCCTTCTCAAAAAATTAGCATATTGTGATAAAGTTCATTATTTTCCATAATGTAATGATAAAAATTAAACTTTCATATATTTTAGATTCATTGCACACCAACTGAAATATTTCAGGTCTTTTATTGTTTTAATACTGATGATTTTGGCATACAGCTCATGAAAACCCAAAATTCCTGTCTCAAAAAATTAGCATATTTCATCCGACCAATAAAAGAAGTGTTTTTAATACAAACAAAAAAAGTCAACCTTCAAATAATTATGTTCAGTTATGCACTCAATAGTCAATACTTGGTCGGGAATCCTTTTGCAGAAATGACTGCTTCAATGCGGCGTGGCATGGAGGCAATCAGCCTGTGGCACTGCTGAGGTGTTATGGAGGCCCAGGATGCTTCGATAGCGGCCTTAAGCTCATCCAGAGTGTTGGGTCTTGCGTCTCTCAACTTTCTCTTCACAATATCCCACAGATTCTCTATGGGGTTCAGGTCAGGAGAGCTGGCAGGCCAATTGAGCACAGTAATACCATAGTCAGTAAACCATTTACCAGTGGTTTTGGCACTGTGAGCAGGTGCCAGGTCATGCTGAAAAATTAAATCATCTCCATAAAGCTTTTCAGCAGATGGAAGCATGAAGTGCTCCAAAATCTCCTGATAGCTAGCCGCATTGACCCTGCCCTTGATAAAACACAGTGGACCAACACCAGCAGCTCACATGGCATCCCAGACCATCACTGACTGTGGGTACTTGACACTGGACTTCAGGCATTTTGGCATTTCCTTCTCCCCAGTCTTCCTCCAGACTCTGGCACCTTGATTTCTGAATGACATGCAAAACTGAGCAACAGTCCAGTGCTGCTTCTCTGTAGCCCAGGTCAGGCGCTTCTGCCGCTGTTTCTGGTTTAAAAGTGGCTTGACCTGGGGAATGCGGCACCTGTAGCCCATTTCCTGCACACGCCTGTGCACGGTGGCTCTGGATTTTTCTACTCCAGACTCAGTCCACTGCTTCCGCAGGTCCCCCAAGGTCTGGAATCGGTCCTTCTCCACAATCTTCCTCAGGGTCCGGTCACCTCTTCTCGTTGTGCAGCGTTTTTTGCCACACTTTTTCCTTCCCACAGACTTCCCACTGAAGTGCCTTGATACAGCACTCTGGGAACAGCCTATTTGTTCAGAAATTTCTTTCTGTCTTACCCTCTTGCTTGAGGGTGTCAATGATGGCCTTCTGGACAGCAGTCAGGTCGGCAGTCTTACCCATGATTGCGGTTTTGAGTAATGAAACAGGCTGGGAGTTTTTAAAAGCCTCAGGAATCTTTTGCAGGTGTTTAGAGTTAATTAGTTGATTCAGATGATTAGGTTAATAGCTTGTTTAGAGACCCTTTTCATGATATGCTATTTTTTTTGAGACAGGAATTTGGGGTTTTCATGAGCTGTATGCCAAAATCATCAGTAATAAAACAATAAAAGACCTGAAATATTTCAGTTGGTGTGCAATGAATCTAAAATATATGAAAGTTTAATTTTTATCATTACATTATGGAAAATAATGAACTTTATCACAATATGTTAATTTTTTGAGAAGGACCTGTATACCCTCATTCACTATTCCCTATATTAGTTCACTAATATAGTCCACTTGAATGAAAAGAAGTGAGTGAATTGAGACACTGATGAACACCTGATATGCAGAATCACTGAAGGACAGAGAAACAAGAACTGAAAAAGAGAAACCCAAAAACTACAACTGACTTCCAGCAACACTGAGTGTGAAAACAGTTTACAAACCAGTTTACAATTATTTCTTTCATAAATGTACAAAAGTTTTTTGTCACCATAATGGAGATCAGTATTTGCTTTAGTTGGTCTCTTGTCCCTGGACTACTATTCATACTCTTCTCTGACTGCTGTA